ATAATTTTTGCCAAATTTCGTATGCGGTTGCACACGTGGAAACCCTATTGTATTCATTGGGGGAAAGACCACAGATTAAGGCGTTCATGGCCTTAGCATTGAGATTGGCAAGGTGCCTTTCATCATCGGACATGTTCTCAACTTTGGACTTCTCTACATATTTCTTTTCTATAAGCCCTAGGATGTCAAGATCAATGCAACGAAGGTAAATTCTCATTCTAGCCTTCCAATAAGCAAAATTAGTCCCTGTGAAGAGTGGTGGTCTAGTTGTGGATTGTCCTTCTAACATATGCATATTCAAAGAAGCCTCCATTGGATCTTTTCTCTAAGGTTGTTAAACCAAAAACTGATATAGAGACCAAGCTCTGATACCAATTGTTGGACCCTAGAGGGGGGGTGATTAGGGTCAAGAGGCTCTAATATGCAATTTAAAAAACAGTACAAACAAACCACAGTAACAGAAGTGCAATAATAAAGAAAGAGATAAAGTTAGGAATCGTTATCCTTGACGCGCGATGTGTTAACGAGGTTCGGCCCTCTGGCCTACGTCCCCGCTCCCCACTCTCGAGGAGAAATCCACTACACACCCGGTTTGGAAGCCGGAACTTCGTCTACACAGCGATCTCCACAGATCTCTCTCACTACACAGTTTGATCTCACAGATCACACTCCCTCACAGTAGATCTCCACAGATCTCACTCACACAGCAGAAGAAAGAAATGCAAGAACCTCTCTTTACACAGCCCTTATAGCAAAGAGAAGGTATACTGAAGCTGGGAGGTGAATCACACTTGAAACAGAGAGAAAAACAGAGTTTTGAAAATTTACTCAGGAAACAGAAAAAGCTCTCTGGTTTTTCAAACGTTAGGGCTGGGAAGAAGAAGAGGTCTGGGGGGTTTATATAGAAAAGTTTAAATCATTTTAAAACAAAAACAAATCTTCCCAAATGAGATAATAATCTCTTCTTCAGACCCTCATCACAGACTGTGCCAAACACTAACAAGTGAAAGCACAGTAAACGATGTAAATGACCGTTTAAAAAAGTCGCGGCTGACCAGAGGCAAAAATCGGTTGACCGAAGGAAATTTCGGTCGACCGAAAAATGCCTTCGGTCGACCGACCAAAAAATTCGGTCGACCGCGAGCAGCTAAGGAAATTTGGTAAAACACGCAGAGACTCATCGGTCGACCGGCACGGTCGACCGATTAAAGATTGAAAATTCGGTCGACCGTACCGGTCGACCGACGACCCTCTGGAAACATACTGAAGAAAGGTCATCGGATCGGTCGACCGGACCGATCGACCGATTTCTGATATTTTCTGAAATCTGAATTTTTCACCAACTTGAAATATTTGCAAAATATTTATTTGACCTCTGAAAATTCTGAAACTTTGTAAAATGTTTTTAATACTAAAAACAAACTGCTTGGAAAAAGAATTTTGCAGATAGGTACTCATACTTGTGAAAAATAGTATTTTGTGAAAAACGCTTAAAAGCACAAGTCTAAAAACGTGTGTGTGATTCCCAATAGCTTCAAGTAAACTCAGTAACTCTTTGCCTACATTCTAGCACTAGAGAGAAAAACAAAAGAAAGCTAATATCCTCATATAGAGAGCAATATACTTGAGCTTTGATATAGCTTGAATCGGATGAAGCTTTTGATCGAATTTGTCGTTCTTGAAATAACGTTGCTTCATCTCTTGGCCTCCTCCTCCTTTGGATATCTTCGTTGTAGCATATATTCCATCCATCCTCCATTAATGGCACTAACGAGCTTGACAAATAAGTTTACTACATTTACACTCAATAAGCCATTAGTACCGATAATGGTGGTTGTAAGAACATCATCAAAACATAAGGGCTAACAATCATGAGGTCGAAGAGTCTGCTCGCAAAGAAATAGAGCAAATTAAAATGATGCTACAAGGGTTGAATGATGGGCTTGCATCAATGGACGGTAGGTAGAGATTCATAATGTCATTCTGAAGAAACAAGTGACCATCAATGAAGCTAAGGCGGCTATTGTGACCACTCAAGCATGGTTGGAAGTAGTTCAACAGCAGAAAGAGGGGCTTAAACTTAGTGGGATTTTAAGGTCGCGGAGCTTGAAGCTGAGACAAAGAGGCTGGCGGCTTTTAGATACCAAGCTGCCCCATTGATCCCGGGACTTTGAGAGAAAGGGCCCAAAAGAATGCTCATGAGGCTAGGGATTCTAGGGTGGCTAAGTGTATTACACAAATATATGCTTTTGATCCATATAACTTTCAAGAATCTTTGTAAAGCGTTGGCTCTTTCAATAAATAAAAGAACTTTTATCTCTTTTTTGATGTGTATACAATAGAGGTGTAATGTTAAGGTATAATACTTACATCTTTGTCGAGGAGAGAAAAGATAAAAATCAAACTAGTTGAGGTGTAATGTTAACATATCAAGTTTGCTCAAATTGGCAATGTTCATAGGTGTAATGTTAATATGTCAAATGAAATGACCGACAAAGGTATAATGTTAACCAGTTAGTTTTGAAGGAGTCCAAAGGACAACTATCATTTGGAAGTGTAATGTTAACTTAACAGTAGGAAATCGATAGAACTTTAATGTTAACTAATTGATTTTTGGTGAGAGAGGATTGACAGATGCATAATGTTAACAGGTCAAATCTAAAAATATAAGTTGACAAAGGTGTAGTATTAAATAGTCAATGAAATGGTCCGACAGAGGTGTAATGTTAACCAATCAGATCACTAGAATGGAAACCGTTCAGAGGTGTAATGTTAATATGATAATGGTAAAACATTTTGTGTCAAGCAAATGTGTGATGTTAACTTGATGATTGATATTTTTTTAGATCAAAATGATAAATATTTATGGTCAGGGATGGAAGCTTAAACATGACCAGAATCTCCGTGGGGAGATGAAATTAGCTAGGATCAAGGGTAATATTTCTTGAGAAATTTCCCGTTAATTAGCGCCATGAGCCTATTGCCATTTTGATCAACTAAGTAATATGCTCCATTTGAGTAGATTGTCTCCACTATGAATAGACCTTCCCATTTGAGTTGGAATTATCTTAGTCTTGTGTGTCATGACCATGGGTTGACGAATGGCTAAGACTAGGTCGCCTTCCTTGAAGGACCATTCTTATATTCTCCTGGCTCTCAAGATACATGATTGACATGTCTTGACTCGCTGCTGAGCTTGAAGTCTCAGCTCATCTAGCGACTCTAGTTCTTGGAGCAACTTCTGATGATGGTCTTCAGTTGTCATCTTCTCAGCAAGAATGATTCTCAATGATAGCATCTGAATTTCCAGAGGGATCACGGATTCATGTTCGTAGAACAAGAAAAAAGGCATAGAGCCAATGGGAGTGTGGACTGTTGTTCGATAAGCCCTTAAACACTCTCCAAGTTTCTCATCCAAATCTTATTTGTTAGAGGAGATGAACTTCTATAGAAGTTTGATAATGCCTATATGCCATGTTTCAAATGGCCATAAAGCAATAGTCAGATGCAATTCTTCCAGAGGTTGGTGTGAAAAATCAGCATGGACTTGACATGCATGACATCGTTTAGCGTAGCTATTGCATATGTTATCATTGTTGGCAAGTAATAACTGAGATGACAAAGCCAATCCTAAAGTTTGGAACCTGGTTGATGAGCTCCACATGTACCCTCGTGGGCTTCTTTTAATGCTCCTTGATCTTCACTTGGTGATACGCATAGGAGCAATATGCCATCGAACTATCAGCAATATAGAGTCTGCGTAGCAGAATTATATAAGAAGCGTGAAGCCCTTCTTTGAATAGAGATTGTTTGCTTTGGCTATCGAGTAATATTTCGTGCAAGACATAATCAATAATCGGAAAACACCAATCATTAACTTCGAAGTGAGTTGTTATACATGCACTTCGTTAGCTTCTAGAATCTACATGACAATTGGGCTACACATTTCCACTAGTAGAATTCGCCTACAATAATAATTTTCATTCCACTATTGGTGTGGCACCATACGAAGCTCTCTATAGGAGGTGATGCAGCTCCCCAATCTGTTGGGAGGTGATCGGCGGCCGTCAACTACTTGGACCTGATCTAATTCATATAATGATAGCTAAGCTCCAAATCATGTAGCAGCATATAAGAACAACACAAAGTAGATAGAAGAGCTATGCAAATCATCAACAAAAGATCTAGATTTCCAATTCGATGACCATATATTTCTAAAGGATACACCAACAAAAGGCATATCAAGAGGTTGAAAGAAAGGCAAACTCCATCTGAGATACATTGGTCCATTCAAGATCTTGGAGATGATCGAACTTGTTGCTTATCGTCTAGCCTTGTCACTAGAGTTTACAAACATTCATGATGTGTTTCACATCTCAAATCTGAAGAAATATGTAGGCAAACTAAGAACACATCATCTCTCACCAAGCTTTGCCTCTACAAGAAGATCTGTCCAATTAAGAGCAACCTAATTCCACTATTGGAAGAAGCTGAGTAACAAGTTTATGTTCTTACTCAAATTTCTATGAAACAATGGTGGGGTCAAAGATGCAACATGGGAAACCGAGGTTGAGATGCGAAAGTCATATCCGCTTTTGTTTTAAGGGCACATAAAGTTTTGCGGATGAAATTTCATTTTAGAGGGGCAGTATGTAAAATTCCTATTTTTCTGATAGTCGAATACCGTTATTGGTACCAACCTTTGTACTGATATCTGCAATACACAACTTCTAATAGCATGAGTTAGAGACCAATTATGTGATAATAGTTGTCTAACTATGCTGTTCTTATCCATTGTTAGCACTTGACCCTAAAACTAATTTTTTTCTTAACTATCATTAGCACAAGTCTAAACTATGACAAATTTACACAAAAATCCCTCCACACTTATCCTTTTTGATGACCAAGACACCCTAGCATGGGTGGGAAATTTTATAAATAAACCCGTCAGTTATATCATATTTCATTCTAAAGATAACACATGGCAAGCCTATCAATATCCACAACCTCTCTATTCCTTATTTTTCTTGTGTATGAGAAAAACTCTCATGTTCTCCCCTTTCCTCTCCCTCTAGATAAGCCACACCCCACTACAAAATCCTCCATTTTTCATTTTCCATTTCCCACTCCAAGCTCTCTCTCTCTCTCTTTCACAAGGATGAAGAAGAAGAAGAAGCAAGTAGAAGAATTATTTGCAAGGAAGCTATGATAGAGGAGAGTTTAGAGCTACTATCAGGTATCATTCAAACCTACTTCCTACTTTGATTTAATTTAGGCTTTGATCTAAAAATTATCATGAGAGATTTATAAGGAAGGCTTGATAGAGAGAGTTTCAATGAATCAATGCTTGCGTGAAGGATTTTAATTGTTGTTGTACACGCATGCCACCCAAGAATGAAGAAAAATCACATCTTTCTGCATCCTAATAAAGAAAAATATGAACTTACATGATTAAGAAAAATATGAACTTACATGATTATTCCTGAAAGGCTTGCGTGTTGATATTTGTAACTTCATTCTCGTACAGCAGCTTCTTGCAGAAAACATGTTGATAGTAATTTGGGCATAGCTCTCTCTAGAAGAATCATTTTTGAGAAAATTTTTCCTTTTTTAGAAACTAGACTCCTGTACATTTCTGTTGGCACTAGTTTGGATTAATTGGAATTGAATTGCTATCTAAATTGGTAGTCTAAACTCAATGCGTGCGCACTAAATATGCAGTCTAACCTCTGGGACTTTTTTTACATGTAAAAATCTATTTCTATGCTTGATAAAGTGAAGAAAATTGTGGGATTTAAAATAGGTCTATCAAGGTACCTATATACTAGGTATAGTTGTATTTTAATGAATAATCTGAAAGGGGTTTTCGGTTTCTAGCTTATTTCTACAATTCTGACACCTTTATGTTGTAGAGAGTATAACTCTTCCTAAAAAGCTTGCGTGCAAAAATTTCCTTGTGCTGGTGAAACTAGACTTGTATAGTAACAATTTCGCTTTTATTTCACTTAGTTTGGATATCATTTTTCCCCTCATCCCTTCACTTGACCTCTACTAATATGTTCTGCATTTCAGTATATACATGTCTTACATGTTTGAGTATAACTTACCCTTTAGATATTAGAATTTCAAACCACTTGTTGTTTTGAAAACTATATTCATAAAGGAGTATCTTGAATCTAGTTTCATGTGTTCAGGACATTAATTGATCTCCTATTTATCCATCTAAATCTACTATATGTATACTGTATTTCACTCTTTGTGCATGCCATGAGTGTTGAGTGTAACCTCCTCGAGCATAGCATATCTATCATGATATAATTTATAATTTTAGAAGATAACAAAAGACCAAGTTGTTTAGAATCTCATATGAGTATACATGCATGCATGTGTATATAGGAGAGGAGCTCTTGAAATTGTTCGACGACACCGAGGAACATGACATCAACAACAGGCAGCCCTTTTTTGCTCCCTCTTAGTTTGTTGAGAGTTTGATTGTTAAATTCTTAAAATTTTGATGAGTTGGATTTTGATATTCTAATATGTATCCTATTCATTCTGTGAAAGCCTACTTGAAGTACTTCATGCATGGAAATGATTGCTAATCGCTTGTTCATCACTATTTCATTGTGTTGATGCTCAATATCAAACAGAATAATCTAGAAGAGGATGGTTGCAGAGTGATGAAGGATGATGGAGGACCCGCTCCCTTCTTCGACTTTATGCCTGATTCTGGACGAGGGCTTGATGTCCACGCTGCACAAATAAGAAGAAACCCGTGAGAGGGCGGTGACCGTTTCCCCCGTGGTTCCTCTGACGGTCAAGTTAGTAAAATTCGAGTAGGGAAGGGGAAGGTCAAGAACCTATGTGGTTCTTAAGGTAGAAATGTGCATGCCTAGAGAGATCTACCTGAGCTCCTCTATGTTGATGAAGAACTGTGTGTTCTTTTTCTATGTACATTAGAGATGATGATTTCCTAGATTTAACTAAGGAGAAGTCTTGATCCCCCCTCCTCTCTTCTTGTTGGGATTAGATAGGCCCTATTTAGCCTAGCCTCGAGAAGCGGTGTTGGAGTGTAGGCTAAGAGTCGAGTCATCCCTCACTTTACAGGTGTCGGCTAGCGACTGGAGGGGAAGTCACTTCAGCTCTAGAGAGGATGTCTCAGCATTTTCTGGGAAGCGATTGAGAACGTGGCAGAAGACATGCTAGCATGCTGAATCATCCCTCACCTTACAGGTGTCGGCTGGCGACTAGAGGGGAAGTCACTTCATTATGGGAGAGTGTGTCTCCGTATTTTCTGGAAAGGGATTGAACTGACAAGTCTTTGAGACCTTATCAGGCCAAAATCTAAATAAGGATTGTCCAAGGTGGACTAAGATATTGACATATGCTCTGGGATAGAGGCTTGGGGCTGGGGCCGAGTTCTCAACTTAATCGGCAGCAGGGAATGACCCTCCAATCATTTCTGAGAAATGTTCAGCGAGTGGCCGAGTGTTCTAAGCAAGGTTGTCCTCGATAATACGATCGACCGACACCGCCTTTCGCGTCGACTCAGGAGTGTCGGCCTGTCCGACTGGTTATAATGTCATCTCGTCTCAGCTAATAATCGTCTCTTGAATCGATATAAAGATGTGGACTCGTCTGGGAGGTCAGGATCTCTCGTGCCGACCAATATCACCTCTGGTGTCGACACCAGAGTGTCGGCTTGATGAGTCGGTGTGGCCGAGGTCACTATGATTGTGCCTTGGGTTTATTCTTGATAAGGTACCAAGGTCTTGTAATTAGCCATGATGGTCGAGTTGTACTAGAGGATTCGACCATATGTTGTACTTTGGGCTAAGGGCTTGTTATCCAACTAAGGAGTCGAATGCCTAGAACTCTTGAGAGTTGACAAGGGCTTTCATTCCCCTAAGGTCGAGAGAAAACTATGGGAGTCGGCCAAAGGGTTGAGTTTGTTTTGCTAGGACTCTTATCGTATCATTTTGCAACTATCCGTATCTTGGGTGAGTGAACACCATAATACATTGCTTATTCAATTCAATATTATGCCTTTGAAATTCGATCAATGACTAACATGATCAGTTCTTTCTTAGATAGATAAAACTATTACCTTGACTAGTAGAACTAACTAATTTATTGGCTTGAATGATGCCCTATTATTCATGGATTTTTACATTATTATGTCCCCAGCTAGGCCAAGTGCCCTGTGTGAGGACACTCAGCGGTGAATATATAATTGAATGCATGCATAATTTATTGATATATCCCATGATTGGGAAATTTAGAATTCTGAATATTGAGGTTGTTTATTCATTATTGGCATTCACAAGTTTTATTTCGATCATCAATTATATTACTAGCACTAGTATTTTATTGTTGATATCTATTGGTTTTAATTTCTATTGCCTACACCATCATTTCTTTTCCCCTTATAGTTTATACCTTGATTTTTTTTCTTATGGTTGGCTATTGAGCCTTACACACTCCCCTACTTCTTTTTGCATCCACGCATAGGTAGCGATCAAGTTAAAGATAAGGGAATTACAAACTCCAAAGAGGACTAGCTCTAGTGCTCAGCAAAAGAAGAATAGTTAACTCGTTAAGTAATGATGTATAATAACTCTATATAAAAATTCTATGATGTAACTATTCCCTTAAGGTCTTCTAGCTATTTTGGTATTTTGTGGATTCCGTTGTGAACTTGTGATTCTGGGTGTTGTATATTTCTTTTACTTTATTCTGCTCTTTGGTTGTATTAATTGAACAAGATTGTTTACAAGAATTATGTAGGTTGACCCTCCATCTTACAGCTGGCTCATGCTCAATTTCCATATACCTCCCTAGTTGTTGTTTTGGGGGACGTTACACTTATTAGCTCCAGTTGTTAGGTTAGAAGCTATTAGAATTTTGCTTGCATTTGCATGTTTTAATGGCTTTAAATTGTATCAAATAGATATTAAAAGTGCTTTTCTCAATGGTTTTCTAAAGAAAGAAGTCTATACAAAACAACCCCTTTTTTAGATTTTAAATTTCCAAATCACGTTCATAAATATACAAAACCTCTATAGAGCTTGAAACAAGCACCTTCCGTATGGTGTGATCATCTTAGTAATTTTCTTTTAGAAAAAAAAAGTTTTAAAAGGGGAGAGCTGACGCAATACTTTTCATAAATCATGATGATTGCGATTTTCTTGTTATCAAAATATATGTTAATGACATTACTTTTAATGCTACTAATGATCTCTTCATATCGAGGCTTTGAGAAAGCTATGCGGGATGATTTCGAGATGAGCTTGGTTAGTTAGTTGAAATACTTTCTTAAATTTCAAGTGAATCGATCAAAGCAAAGGAGTTTTTATTTCACAAACCAAGTATGTGAAGGAGCTTTTAAAGAAATTCAGCACGGAAAATATTAGACTAGCAAGTGCACTAACGAGTCCATTGGTGAAGATATCAAAGGATATGAGTGGTGTCTCAGTTGATCAGAAGACATAGAGAGACACAATTGGTAGCCTTTTATATCCTTCGACTTCTCGCCCTAATATCATGTTTTTAATTTTCTTATGTGCGTCTTTTCAATCTTATCCAAAGGAGTCTCATTTTAAAGCTGTCAAAAGAACTTTTTAATATTTGCATGGTACAAAATCCTTTAGTTATTGTGATTCTTTCATGCTTCTAATTTTTTGGATTCTAATTATGCGAGTTGTCTCACGGATAGAAAGAGCTAGCAGTACATGTCACTTATTAGGTAATTCATTAGTCTCATGAACTTGTAGAAAACAAAATTATTTTGCACATTCCACTACCAAAGCAAAATGCATTGTATTAGGAAGTTCTTGTAGGCTTTGTGGATGATGCAAACTTTAGAAGACTATGAGCTTTAACTTTACCATAGTATCTCTCAAGAGTGATGGCGAAAGTGCAATTGCTTTAACAGATAATCCCATACAATACTCATGCACGAAGCGCATAGATGTCTGATATCATTTTATTTATGATCATATAAAGAAAAAGGACATATGCATTAAGCTTGTCACTACCAATCAACAACTAGCTGACATCTTCACCAAACCTCTACGTGAAAAGAGATTTGTCCTAGGCAAGAGTTAGGTATCATTTCCTTGGATGTCTACTTAGTCTATTTGAGATTCAATGGATATTTTTCCCCTCTAATATTACTATCCTATTGATTCAATGGATATTTTCCCCCTCTAATATTACTATCCTATGATAAATTTTGATAAATAGATACTAATTGCATTATTTGACAGTACATATAAATATTTTCCCCTGCAATAATAAGTTATCCATGAAAATTTTGAAAGTTTTTTTTTGCATATATAATTAATATTTGATTTGGCTTTATAAATATCAACGTGTATGTTGTAGTGTATGTCAGATTACTATTTATATAGCAGCATGTTACTTGTATTATGCGGTGGTACATACATATTATAGAAAAGTAATCTAAAATATGTTCATGAGTTATGTAATGATCATATATAACATAAGATAAGGATATGTATGTTGTGCGCAGCGGAAATTTCGGCAGCACCTCCGGTGCGCAAGGTGCACAACAAGAGATTAAATCGTAATAAGAATTTCTGTCTCACCAAGGAAACAAGAATCTGAAGCGGATATCTCAACAAAGTGAGATTAAGAATTTCTGTCTCACCAAGGAAACAAGAATCTGAAGCGGATATCTCAACAAAGTGAGATATCGGCTCTTCCTCTCATCAGTTCTAGGACTGACCTGTCGAGGGATCCTACAAGCTATTACAAATCACAGCAAGAACACAAATTTTACGTGGTTCGGCAATAGCCTACGTCCACGGGGCAAGGAGGGGGAGATCTACTATTAGAGGGAGAATATAAATAGGGTTTATAATCTCACAACCTAAACCCTCTCACAAACTCTCAGATCCCTCACACAAATATTCTCTTAAAGGAACAGCCGTAATTAACTCCGTGCACCGAACTCTCCTTCACAAAGCCTTGATTTGCAGCAGCCGCAAAAATCCCTTTAAGCTTCTAACCTCGCACCTGCTTTTCTCCGCAGCCGCAGAAAAAAAAACACACTTTCCACGCCTCTGCCTCCTCCGCTCACGTTTCCCGAAACCCTAGAGACAAGTTATATAGGCGCACGAACTAACTCGGGTGGGCCTTCAAGTGAACGAACAAATTAGTTGATTCGTGGGCAATATCTTCACGCGGAAACAGCGGAAACGTGGTTCTGCGCGCTCACGTGGGTCTGGCCCACCTCCCACTAATGCGTTCGTTCACAATTCTTCACCTCGGTGAAGTTTCTTCCAAAACTGAGCCGACACCAAAGCAACGAAATGTCCCACTTGTTGTGTAGTACGAACTCAATCCACAACAAGTCGAGAACCCGAACGAGAGTCCAAACAATCTCACCCCCAACAACTAATCCAAACTGGTTGCATCTGAAAGACTGCCTACATATCCTCTTGCCCAAGGAATCAAGCCGAACGTAGTTCACCCAATGGCCTCCAAAGGCCTCAACACTGAAGAATGTTCAAAAGGTCCAAACAATGACCAAACTTGACACCTGAAACAACTTTGGTCAACATATCTGTAGGGTTGTCCTTCGTGTGGATCTTCTCCAACATGACGTCTCCTTCATCCAAAACGTCACGAACAAAATGGAATCTGACATTGATATGCTTCGTGCGTGCATGATAAACCTGGTTCTTCGCCAAATAGATAGCTGACATGCTATCACAATATACCCGAAGGGTCTCCTGTGCAATCCCCAAGTTCTCCAATAATCCCTGTAACCACAAAGTCTCCTTCACAGCGTCAGTCAACGTCATATACTCTGCCTCCATAGTGGAGAGAACCACTGTAGACTAAAGTGTGCATCTCCAACATACCGATGATCCTGCTAGTGTAAACACATATCCGCTAGTAGACCGGCGCTTGTCCAGATCTCCCCCATAATCAGAATCCACGTAACCAATACAATCCTACCCTGTCTTCTCATTCTTCTGAAATACCAAACCAACATCCACGGTACCTTTGATATACCGTAGAATCCACTTCAATGCCTCCCAATGACCCTTCCCGGGGTCGTGCATGTACCTGGATACCATGCTCACGGCCTGTGACAAATCTGGCCTTGTACACACCATCGCATACATCAAGCTACCCACAGCATTGGCATATGGAACTTTGGACATGTATTCACGGTTCTCAACTGAAACAGGTGACATCTTAGCTGATAGCTTAAAGTGGGGAGCTAATGGAGTACTCACTGGCTTGGCATTGCCATCATAACTGAATTTCTTCAGCATCTTCTGCAAGTAACTCATCTGTGTCAACTTCAACCTCCCCTTCACCCTGTCTCTCTTAATCTCCATACCCAATATCTTCTTTGCTTCTCCAAGATCCTTCATCTCAAATTCGGATGACAATTCCTTTTTTAACTTTCTAATAGCTGAAGTATTCCTGGAAGCTATGAGCATATCGTCAACATATAACAGCAAATAGATATATTCACCATTCTGTAGCTTGTGCATGTAAACACATGGATCATATGGGCTTCTTGTGTACCCTCGGCCAATCATAAAGCCGTCGAATCTCTTGTACCATTGTCGCAGTGATTGCTTTAATCCGTAAAGAGACTTCTTCAGCTTGCACACTAATTCTTCCTTTCCTGCAGCTTTGAACCCCATAGGTTGTGTCATGTAGATCTCTTCTTCTAAATCTCTATGTAGAAAGGCTGTTTTCACATTTATCTGGACCAAATCCAAATCCAGCTGTGCCACCAATGTTAATAAAATACGAATCGACGAATGCTTTACAACAGGTGAAAATACCTCGTTGTAATAAACGCCCTCTAGTTGTGTATATCTCTTGGCAACCAATCTGGCTTTGAATCTAATTTCCCCAATAGAAGATCCCTCTTTTTTTGCATACACCCACTTGCATCTAATAGCCTTCTTACCCTTTGGTAGCTTTGCAAGTTTCCACATGTCGTTCTTATGAAGAGACTGCATCTCCTCCTCCATGGCTTCCCTCCACCTAATCGAATCAGAGCTTGACGCTGCTTCCTTGAATGTAGAAGGAATCAAATCATCAACGACTTCTGCTGATAAAGCATATGCAACCATGACATCGTCATATCTAGCTGGCCGACGAATGTTTCTTCTTGGTCTATTAGCTGCAATAGACTCCTGAACATGACCCTGTTCCTGAGTCCCAACATCCACTATATCCTCTAAATGCCCGGCTATCATCTAATCTCCTTCTAGTGTCACCTCTGTAGGAGCCTCGATGGATACAATGCTCTCTGGAGTGGGTGGAGTCACATCATCCTCCACCTGTTGTGATATCTCTTGAATCTGGTCTTCCTCCACCTGCTGAGGAACTTGAGGCTTCATCATGTACGCCTCGTTAAATATGACATTTCTGCTAATAACTATCTTCTTGTCTTGTGGATCCCATAACTTGAAGCATTTAACTTCATCTCTAAATCCCACAAAGACTGCTTTCCTCGCCCTCGAATTCAATTTTCCATCACTGACATGGTAATACGCTGGACACTCAAATATCCGAAGTGACTCATAGTCACTAGCTACCGAACCAGACCAACGTTCCAACGGAGTCTTCCCCTGTATCGCAGTGCACGACAACCTATTCACGAGATGGCTCGCATAAACCAACGCTTCGTCCCAAAAGGATCTAGGCAATCAACTCTGTGTCATCATACATCGCACCTTCTCCAGCAATGTACGTTTCAATCTCTCAGCCATGTCGTTCTGTTGCGGTGTCTCTCGAAC